GTGCTCAAACCCAGGACCCCAATCTCCAGAGAGGGCATGGCCAGAAAGGCCAACAACAATCAAGCCCCACATGCCATGGAGGCTTCCAACAATCCCTGTGACTTTGAGTTGCCCCCAGGGCAAACCCCAGCACAGCCCTCCACTTTATTTTCATGTTACTACACCAGCACCTGACGTTTCTTGTTCATTGGGTTTCTGTCCATCCTATCATAATAGAAGCTCTCTGAGACCAAGGCCCTCCCAGGTACAAGAAGAAGGGAAAAGCCACCCAACATGTCTAGGGTGGGGAACAGAAGCTAGGTGTGGATGGGTCCATGCCTGGGCACAGCCTGATGGAGCTGGCCATGGCCACAGCCCCACAGCCTTAACCTGCAGGTCACAGGGTCTGCCAGGGCAGACCCCACACTCCCTGAATGGTGACAGGCCTGGGGTCTGGAAGGCCAGACCTGACGCCCCTGTTCTCACACCCAACTTCCTAAGGAAGTTCCCTGCCCTACCTGCTGGCCTGCTGGCCAACCCTTCCCCTACCACTAGCTGTGGTTATAGATTAAAGGCACAAACACCTACTCTAGAAGGTCCCTGTGAACATGGACATGGATCCTCCCAGAAAGGTAGGAGAGCTGGCTGAGGGTGCTGGAATGTTCCTACTGATACATTAGCAGGGAGCCATCTGGGGCTCAGACGTGGGCCTTCTCATTTTATAGTGAGGTAGAGGTGGGCTGGGGAAGGGTATAAAATCCTTCTGTGGGTACAGAAACGACTCTATCATTACCAACTTTGGACGTTGGGCAAGGCATGCCTCAGTTTCCTCATTTGTAAACAGGGAATAATATTGGTGCCTCTATTTCATAGGACTGTCATGTTTTCTACTTATTGGACCCGAGGGCCATGCCTTTTTTTTTTTTTTTTGGGCCATGCCTTTTTGCCCTGGGCTCTGTGCATCCCCTCTTGTGCATTCCTCCCCATAGTCTCCCTCTCCAGGCTCCCACTCCCATCTCACCGAATATCCAGGGAGGGAAGCTTTCTTTGCTGTTCTCCAGTGGTTTCCCATCCGTGAGCTCACTTCTCTGAACACAGAGAAACTTGACTACCATTGCCTCCACTGCTTTGCCTACTGTACCCCCCAGGTGCTAAGTCTCATCAACTCCTGGTTCCCCCTTATGGTAGCTCACTCTGCCGAGAGCCCCTCCTCCTTGAAACACTCTTGTCTTTAAGGTCCATGAGGGCACTCCATCAGTGTCTTCCCCTGCCCCTCTCTGCTCTGGCCTCCTCCTCATGCCTTTCCTTCCTCCCACAATGACCTCACCCCTTCCTTGGCCTCAGCTCCCACGGTGCACCAAAGGTTCCACATCTCCAGCCAAAACGTCTCCCCAGAGTCTGAGATACACACATCCAATGGTTTAGGTGACATCCCTTAAGAGTCACTAATACCTCAGACTTGAAGAGCAGGGGGAGGACTTAACCCGCCAAGGCTTGCATAGTCACCAGCGTGCTGACCAGTCTAGTAGAAGCTTAGCAAGCAGCAGCCAGTACTATTATTTGCAGTTTTCATTTTAAAATTAGCATCACTTTAATAGGCAGGAATACGGGTTTGAAAAGAGCAGGCAAAGCTCTCTCCCAGGAACTGAAGGGAGGACTGAGGTCTCTTTTCTCAACCTCTGGGGTGAGTGGGTTGGAAACTCCACACCAATCACTGCAGGCCAGCCATTCTAGAAACAAGTTCCTAAACTCCATCTCCAAGTCCCCTAATTAATTAATTAGTGTTCCAGCTATTACTCCTGTTGACAACTTTGGTGGCTCTTGGCAAGGATGGGTCAGCCCAAGCAAGTCCAGACTTATTGTGGCAAATCCCACCGGCTTCTGGGATGTGAGACATGATCCCCATACGGCAGGAGTGGTACCTCGTTAGAGAGAATTAATTGAGAGGGTGAATGGGGGGGGGAATGAGGTCTCTCAGCTAGCTGGCTGATGGCCTTGGTGCCATAGGTCACAGATAGGCTTCAAAACACCTCCATTTGGCCCAGGCTGGCCTGCATCCTGGTGGAGCTGATGCAGATGAGGAGGGGGCACATAAGACCAAGTCTCTACCCCCCTCTCTCAGAGAATAGACTTTCATGCAGTACGGACTCTTCCCAGTCAAGAAAAGAGGTTTGGGTTTCAATGAGAGGGACTTTGGTTAGACACTCAGATGAACTAATTTCCATGCCTATTTGAGGTAGGCATGAGGGAAGAGAGAAGCTTGGACCTTGACAGGGAGCCTCTGTGAGGCCAGGCCTGCTCGCTGAGACCACCTCCTGCAGCTACAGCCAGAGGCTTGGGTGGGGGGACTGTGGCCATCTCGCCATTATTTGCCCCAGAGGAACACTGGCCAAAGGCCCACAGCACTCTTAGACCCTCCCCACTACACACACACACACACACACACACACACACACACACACAGGGTGGCCCCTAGCTCCCTCCTCTCTCCACTAGCCCACGGCAGGCAAAGTGGTTGAGGGAGGAGAGAAAATCTTGTGGAACAAGCAGATGCAGCATTTCCTGGGAGTTCTGGCCTAGGTGTGGGCCTCTGGGGTTTCCTCTCATATCAGCACCTGGCTTCTGTGACTTTGAGTTGGTGCCTGGGCTGCTCTGGGCCTCCACTTCCCCAGCAGAGCCAGGAGGATGGTACACAGGATGACCCTGAGCAAGCCTTCCAACAGGTCAGTCCCCAATTCTGTACTCTGAGGCTTCTCTGCCCTGGGTCCCTCCCAGCGCAGACAGGCAGAGCTATGGGACCTACCTAAAGCTTCTGAACACCGTGGTGCCTCCAGGTGCCTCTGACCCTCGCCCGGAACTGCACACTTAGCCTGACTGTATAGAGAGATGCCGCCGCTTTGGGGAGTGCTGGGCCCTACCCTTCCAAAATGGGGATGCCAAGACCACCAAGCAGTGCCCTCCCTCCCATCTTCACAACGTCCAGGTGATCTGGAGCCCTTGGTATCATTCAGAGTCCCCAATTTTCAGAAAACAGCTCTTCAGGTTTTGTGGGGGGTGAGATATCCCTGGCTTCATGGCACAGCTGGGCCCTATGGGCATGAGGGCGCTCCAGGCTCCCCACCATACTGTGCCTTGGCCCTCCAAGACAGGAGTCCCACCCCATCCTAGTTTCCTCCTAAATCCCTGGGGCTCAGTGGAGGTAAGTTACTCCAGACCTCACCTCCCAGGACCTCGGGGCCTGGAGTCTGGCTTACCACCTCCTACTTAGGACCTTGGGTCTTCAGCCCCCATGGTCCAGGCCACTCATTTTCACATTTCCAACTTCCCTCCAGGAACCTGCCTCTTCCCCACCCAACCCCCTCTCAGGACTGAGCAGGGTCAGGCCTGCAATCGTAAACTCAGTGGTGCCGGTCTGTGGCCCCAGCTGCCATCTCCCCAGAGCTCAGTGACTCCAAATACCACGTTCACTTTTTGACCTCCTTGGGTCTGCCTGTCCATCAAACCTTGCTTTCCCCACTCAGCTTACTTGCCCATCTTCACCCCCACCCCGCTAAGATGCTGGGCCCACTGCTCCTCCTGAGGGCCTACTCCCTGAATGCCCCACCCAGCCCGATGCGACCTGCTGGTTGAACCCTGTGACCCCTGCAGCCCCCAGCACCTCAGATACACAGATTCTGGCCCCACCCACAGACCTGCGTCCTCACTCAGCCACCCTCTCCGCCAACCCCTTGCAGGTCTATTTCTATTTTCCCCGGGCACACCAAGGCCTCTGGACTGAGTGGTCAGTCCTGCCACCCCACTTCCTCACCCCTCAGCTGGGTCCACCTCTGGGGAGACGGTTTGCCTTCATTGCCTCAGATACCAACCAATACTTCTCAGCTTCGTGGCATTCCATGTATCAGGAGTGTCTGCCCTGTGGATGGCCCATCTCCCTCTGACCCCACTTGGCTCTGTCCTTGCCGCCCGGGGTGCTTGTCCCTGGACACCACTCCTCCCCAGGGCCTCTCTGCCACACATTCGCTGGCTTCCATTACTGGTTTTATGCTGGTGGCCTTACTTCTGTCCCTCTAGCCCAGGCCTCTCTCCTGGATTCCAGACCCAAAGCCGACTTCCCACAGGGCAGTCCCATTCGCACATTCCATGGGCTCCTCAAACCTCACGTGTCCACCCAACTCAACACAACATCTTCCCTCAAACCGCCCCTCCTTGTGTCTCCATCCTCTTAAGCAGTGCCTACATCTGCCTGGTTGCTCAAAAGCAGAAAGCTGGGCGCACACCCTACCAGCTCCCTTCCCCTCCCACCACTCGCAGTTCTTCATAATCCTAACTCTCTCTTAAAGGACCCACTTCTTGTTGCCCACTGCCAACAGCCTGGTCCAAGCCACCACCATCTCTTGCTGGACACCCGCCACCGCCTCCTGATGGCTCCTCCTCCAGAGCTCCAGCCCAGGCTCAGAGTCAAGAATCTGCAGTCCTCCATTGCACAGCCCTTCTGAGGGTACCTACGCTCTCTGCTTTGGCTTCCAAGTCTCCAGCTCCACCTGCCTTGGGCCCCCTGGCCTAGCCCACTTCACTGCACTCACTCTCTGCTTATGTTGCAGATTTTCCTCTGCTCTTGGAACGTGCCGTGTGCTGCCTCACCTGAGAACCTTTAACCCAGGTGACCCCAGCCCTACCCACCGCCTCTTCCCCCAGGCACCTGGCCAACTCCAGCTCATCCTCCAGGCCCCATGAAATGCTACTTCCCTCTAGGCTGGGTTTGGGGCCCTCTATTGTATCCTCCCACATCCAGCTGGAATCATCTCCTCCGTGTCCTAATCCTTCATCTGCTAGTCACTGTATAATTGTCATGTTCACTGCTTGGCCCTCAGCTTGGGAGAGGTCAGAGCCTGGACCGAACTGTCTCATCTATGGTTCTAACCTCAGTGCCTAGCTCAGGGCTAAGGAGTTGGCACTGAATAAGTGTTTGTTAATAAACAGCTAAACTGCACCCCTCCCTGTCCTGCCCTCCCCACACTGACCTCTGACATCTGCGGGAAGAGGCTGATGGCCAGCGGCAGGGCCAGGCCGAAAGCTGCCAGGCACACAAGGCTTTGCACGGGGAGGAGGAGCCGGGGGCGTGCCTGCAGGAGAGCCGTCCTGTGGGGAAGACAAGAGACCCAAAGACAGAGTGAGCTGGCTGCTAGCCACCATGCAGGGCCCCACTCAGTCCCAGGGCCAGGGCACTGTGGTCCTGAGCCAGTGCTAGCCCATAGCTATATAGTTGTGGTGGGATTCCGTCTTTGGGGCCATCAGTTGGCACCTTTGTCCCCAGGCCCTGCCCTGAAGGACATTGCTGCTTGAACTCTCAACCACTCATTGTAAATGGGTACTTGTGGGGTACTCATCCCACCCTGTGTCCAGCCCTGTGCAAAGAAAAGAAGGCCACGTGTGAGGGAGACAAGAGAGGAGGCTGTAACTGCCCCCTCCCCCACCAGGGAGACATATAGCAGAGAAAGATGGTCCTTGAAGGCAGCACATAATAAAAAACTGAACAAACCAGAATAGAAGTAAGTCCAGGGGAGGAGGCAAACAGCACACACAATACTTATACACACAGGGATACATGCGTGTGCGCGCGCACACACGCACACAGCTGAGAAGGATTTCCACGGAGAGGATTCCATCCTCTTCTGTGTATGGAAACAGACCACACCCAACTGCCTGGTCCACTTTGATCCAAAAGACAATGAGAAGGGCAGTGACTTGTCCAAGGCCATGGCCAAGTCAGCTGGAGGCAGGCAGGGCTGCTGCCTGGATTCTGGACTCCCTGCCAGTGCTATGGCTCCATGCTGCTCCCAGCTCCTGCCTTCAGAACCCTTCGGCAGTGTCATCACCAGTGTGTCACAGCTGGCACTCACCCACCCCATGACAAGCCTTGGAGGTGGGATTCCTGGGCAGGAGAAGTGTATGAAAAGTATCCTTCCAGGCCTTGGGCCCCTCTGCTCCATGATTAAAACAGGCTCCCCAGACAGACTGGGGCTGTGCCTGCTGGCAAATATACCTTCACCATGTTGTCCATCAGAGCTTTACATTTTCTATATCTCGCAGGCCCTTTGGTGGAAACCACCAAGACCTCCTTGGTGAGGCCTGGGGTAGGTGTGCCAGCAGATGGGTGACTGGACTCTTTGCCAGGGGATGCTGGGTGGGCAGTAAATCTGACCTCAGTAACTATGTCACCTCCTCACGACCGGGACCGGCTCCTGGTGTGATGAGCATATATAACCAGGCTCTTGTCCTTCTGCTGGAACAGAGCTGGCTGCAACCACAGGCAGAGGAGAGACCCTTCTGGGGGCAGGGCCTCAGTGTGGGGCAGGGAAACCCCATCCCCCTTCACCTCCCTGGATAAGAATCCTTAGAGCACCTAGCCCTGAGCAGACGGCAAAACTGGGAGCCACAGTTCTCAAACTCACGTGTCCAAGCATCTGCTTAATGCAGACCCCCAAGAGCCCCTCACCCCACTGACATCCCCATTCTGTTGGTACTATAACTGGGAATCTGCATTTCAAAGTCTTAAACAGGTGATCTCCAGACCACACTTCTGAGAAACCCTGGCCCAGGAAGTTCCTGCTAAGGTACCAATAAAGTTCCAATTACTTGCAAATTCTATGCAAATAAAGGGCCTGGCCTCAATAAGTACTCAGTCACTGTGGGTTATTATGGCTGTTTTTGCTCTTAGGGCAGAAAGGAGGGAGGACCCTAGTGACGGGCTGTCCTCTAGCCTTTCCCACTGGCCCAGACCCCAAGACCCGCCCAGCTGTTGAATGAAGCCTGAGTTGAGCTACTGGAGGGCAGTTTCACAGGATTAAGAGTAGCAAGGCAAAGGTGCCTAAATCAAGCTCTAACCTATCTGACCTTCCCCTGAGCCTAGCGCCCCCATCATCTCCCTCTCCTCCAGGTGAGCCTCACACCCTCTGTTGACTCAGCCTGAGGCCTGCTGGCTTCCATGGGAATCAGACAGCTGAAATGGGCTCTGAGACCTTTTCAGCTGAGATCGACTTCTCCAGCAGGACAGGGAGGTGGGGTACCCAGAACCTCACTCTCCTGACTTGCTTCCACAGGAGGCCCCCTGCCTGAAGAGGCTGTGGAGGGCGGGGCTGCCCTCCTGCCCAGTGGCAGTTGACTGTGACCTCAGTCCCCTTAGTCCCCAGTGGGGAATCGGAGGAGGGGGAATGGGACAGGAGGGTGTGAAGTCCCTGGAAGCATAGACTGGAAGGTCAACAAGGCCAAAGAGGGGGATGGGGAGAAAGGCATGAAGCTCCTTCCCCGGCAGGTGAGGTGTGCTCCTGGCAGGGACTCTGGGGCAGCCTCCTTCCACATGGGGCTGTGACCTTGGCACCTCTCTCAGGGGTGGCTGGCTGGAGTCTGCACTGGAAAAATGGTCCAGGAAGCCCCAGGCCTGTTGCTCCTGACTCAGGAAGCAGGCAGCCGCCCCCGCCCTCCCCGCCACCCCCAGACTTCAGCCAAACAGAAACCCCTGAAGTCCCAGCCCTGAGCCTGGAGGCCCAGAGAGTGAACACAGCAGGATGGGGGGAGGGGAGAGGAGAGGGAAAGGCAGCTGGGGGAGTTGAAATATGCAGATGGAGAGATGTGCGTGTGCGAATGCCTGGAGAAAGGAAAGACCCGGAGCCCAGGGAATGAAGGAGGCTGGGGAGCGGCCTCAGGAACCACTGTGGAGGATGTGGCTTGAACCCCTATCCAGCTGAGACCCCACCTGGCTGGAAGGCGAACTCCAGGGTGAGGGATGCAGAGCTGTGGGGGGAGAAAGCCGCTGCACCTGCCTCTCAGTTGGTGGGATTAGGAGGAGGTTGGATCTCCCAGCCAGGAGACTAAAGCCAGCTTCCTCGTCAGGAGAAGTGGGAGACCTCAGTCCCAGGTAAGGGGCAGCAGAGGGAAAGGTGTGTGTGTGTGTGTGTGTGTGTGTGTGTGTGTGTGTGTGTGTGTGTGTGCTGGGGGGAGGCACACGCTCAGCGCTCCCTCTGCAGTGGGGGCAGCCACTCCACTCCATCTGACTTTCCCTTTCAATCTCAGAGACAGGGACACCTGGACATGCTGGGTTCCTCCTACCTCTTTTAATGCTAGCAGGAAATCCAGGGACCTTGTGTCTCAGTGCTCCTCCCAGCGAGGAGGAGGAACTGAGGCCAGAGGCAGGGCAAGCCCAACCCCAGCCTCTGTACCAAACGACAGCTTGTCTCCCCACTGCCGTGCATTCCCTCAGCACTTGGAGCAATCTTAGTTTGCACTCCATTAATTTGCAAGTAGGCTGCTTTGTAAGTGTTCTTTTGTCTTTTCCCCTGGCTGTCCTGACTCTCTCACCCGAATGGGCTCCCAGAGGGTAGGAGCAGCCTCGCCACCCCCCACCCCCATCAGCCATCTCAGCAGAGGCCTCTGCCATTGGCACCCCTGCGTGGAAGGCTGCAGGGTGCTTAGCAGAGCCCCTGCAAAGACTCCTGCTGAAGGGTGTGAAATGCAAAGCCCTGGCAAAGGAGGCGGTGAAGAGGGCAGTGCCACTGTTCCCCGGGTGAGAAACTGAGGCTGAGGGAGTCTCCTCAACCAGCGACCAGCGTAGCCTTAAAGTGCTGGAGTGGGAACCCAGATTTCATTTTCCTACCAGGATCTCAGCCAGTGCTGCGACACTGCCCTGCCTCTCCCATCAGTCTTGAGCATCCCTGAACAGATGTGAGGTCAGTAAGTCTTTGAGGACACAGACTGGGTCTCGATATTGCTGAGGGATCCTGAACTGTGTGGGCTCTTTCTCTTCTTTGGAGACCTGCCCAGGAACTTCAGAAAAGGACTGACCCAATATAGGATGCCTGAACCAAATGTCCAACCTCTGCTAACCTCTGCCTACCTGAAGGCCTCCTTCAGCCTCTGAGCTGAGCCAGCCACATACATGGCAGCCTGGACTCTGGGCAGATCCCAGCCTGGGAGGTTCAGAACCAGAATGATCCCACCCAACTTCCCAAAGCTATTTTATGTCCTCAAACTAACCATCACTCTACTCTACTTTCTGCAAACCCAACTCAGATGGCAAGTGGAAAGGCATCACAGACGTTTTCCCAAGAAAATACCAGGCCCAGGATTCAGTAGCCTTGAAAACAGAAGCCCTTCCTTCTTCATTTGCCTGGTGGTCTCTTGTGCACTCACAGTCACTGGTATTTGGGGAAAGCCTCAGTTCACGAGGCAGCGATGTACACAAGGGGCACCAAAGCAATTCCTCTCCCAGGATCTGTTTGTTTTTGCAACTCCCACACGAGATTGATTTTCTCAAATGCCGGTGCTCAGAATGCCACACCACTGCTCAGGTTTCTCCCACAACTTCCCCTCTTCCATGATGAGGAAGGGATAGAGATATCTCCTTGGCTGGACTCATGGCTCCTCATCCACTGGTCTGGCTAGCCTCCTCAATTTCCCACACAGTGGAACCCACAGCCTGCCCAGAAAGCCTGCCTTCCACAGAAATCCTACCGTGCTCTTAGAGTCAGCTGCAGTCCTTCTCCCATTCCACCTGGCTGATGGGCCCATAGTGCTCCCTCCCCTCAAAGTCACCTTGGGCCCATTTACATACTGCCCAGCCCCACCTACAGCTGGCCTGTGTATGGGTCAAGCCCGTGTCTCCTACCAAAATACAGGCTTCCTGACACCAGGACCCCAAATCTGCTCCTCCCTTGTCTTCGTGCAGGACAAGACCCAAAGACATGCTGATTATGTGCTCCGATCCGAAGACATGAGGCCCCTCATGTGGTAGGAAGAGCCCAGCTTTGCAGCTGCACTCCTAGGTCACTCCTGACTCTGTCATTTCCTATCGTATAACTATAGGCAGATGACAGAGCCTCTTTTTGCCTTGCTTTCCTCATCTGTGAGATGGAATTATTATGCTTACCTTGCCGTGCTGTTGTGATGGCTGAATGAGATCATTTGTTCATCCAACAAACACTAAGCATCTACTCTGTGCCGGGAATTGGGCTAGATGTTGTGCAGGGCAATAAATAAAAAGAATGTACTTGCCTCCAAGGAGATGACCAGAAAGGTAGCAGACAACAAGATACAGTCTCTGATGTTGCTAAGTGCTATGAATAAAAACAAGGCAAGGGAGGGAAGGGGGAGTAGTGGTGCTGTATCTTGATGGGGCGGCAGTCGGGGCAGAACTCTTTGAGGAGCTGGCATTTGGGCAGAGACCTGGCTGGGAGAGGACAGGCAGGTAGAAGTGCTTACTAAATGTTAGCTGTTACCATAATTCGTACTGTGGCAATAGGAAAGTCCTCAGACTGGGCGGATGAGCCTGCTCCGAGCCCCCGACAGTGGCCCTAACCCCACCCTTACGCCTTGAGGTGCCCCCCTCCCAGTCCGGGCCGCCAGGAGAGAGCAAGTGCTCAGCACCTCCCTTCTACCTGCATGAGCCAGGGGTCTGCACCTCCAGGATTGTATTCATCTTACTGACCCCACCCAGAACCCTTCCCTGCTCCTCGCCAGACTCCTAGACTTGCCCTCACCCTCAGAGCCTGCCCAAACCTCCCTCTGTCCCCTTGCCCCGGCAGCAGCCGTTTCTGGCTTCATGATTTAACCTCACGCTCATTAATTAATAGGATCACTCTATCGTTGTTCTTATTATTGTGTTCCCTTACAACATCTTTACAGTCACGACAAACAGGTTTTCTCAGAACATGCTTTGAAGGAAGGTAGGGAGGTTGGTATTATTTGTGTTTTATAAATGGAAAACTGAGGCTCAGTGAGTTAGCGAGTTGCCTTGTGGTTGGATGCCTGAATAGGGTGGCCCTGGCCCCAAATCGAGTCTTCCTACCACAATCCTCATACTTTCCCTTCACAACTGGCCCTGCACCGCACACTAATAGCACACAAGCACACGTGCACACGCCCATGCGTGCACACAAACATGCACACCCCAGAACTGTCAGTCCCTCGGGGCAGGGCCAGCACTGTCCATCTGAATATCCTTCGAAGCACCTAGCACAGGATCCTGCATAGTAAAAGCCCATGAATACTCACGGCATGATTCCAGGAGTACTGCCTGGGAGTGTCTGAACAAACTGGGGTAGGGCAGACTGCCAGCTGCTCCCCTGTCCCCTGCCCCGGGCCAGCTGGTTCCCCTTCCCTCTCACCCTCCTCCCCAGTGGTGGCCCCTCTCTCCTGGCTGTCCCAACTCACTTCTCTAGCATGGACATGACGATCGGGGGGAGCACCAGGATGGGCATGGGGAGGACCACTCGCGTCAGCGCCGTCTCCAGCAGGGCCTGAGGGGCAAGCAGAGGCTGTAGTGAGTGGAGCTCCTAGGGTGGGGGGCACAGCCACCTGGCAGTGAACCCCTCTCTGGAGCCCGTAGGTGTGTGCACTGCTGCTAAGCACATCTGGCTGAGTAGAATAATTCATGGAGTTGCTCAGGAAGCCTTATTCCAAACACCAGAAAAAAACACCCCTGTCTTCCCACCAAACAGATTCAAAAAGAGCAGATCCCTGTCACCTGCCACGTGTGGGGGAGGGGTGGCAACACAGAAGTGGCCCCAGGAAGGGGCCTGTGCCCAGGGAGGTGCCTCGACAGCGGGTGCAGGGCTGGGGAGGAAGCATATGGAGGACTCTAAAAACAAAGCAGGCGCTGAGAGGACCAGGGCAAACAGCTGGGGCCTGCTGAGTCGCATGAGGCTCCTGGTGCTGAAGGAGGACAGAGATTCTGGGGTTTACTTTTTTTTGACACCCTTAAAGACAAAAATTTGGAAGATCTTGCATCTCCTGGCTCTGGATGAGACCCTTTCTTAGTGATAAGAGGTCAGCTTTATGAGCAGGAAATGCGTCTGCAGAGTGTCTGCTGTGTCTCCATATGGGGTTGCCTGGGTCTTATAGGGGGTCTTATAAGGTTTTGGGGAGTGGGGGCATGGTCAAGGCATGGCTCAGAGGCAGTTCTGCACTCTGATGGTCACCGTGGGGAGTTCTTTCAACCCCAGGGGCTTCCGGCCCTCAGAGAAGGCTCAAGGAATGGCTCATAGCTCACAGACCCCAGGAGCCTTCCCCTAGACAGCAAGGGGCTGATGACCCTGCCAAGTTGAGGGAAGCCCAGGGTTGCAGAGAAGCCTGGGGTTCCCTGCTGCTTGCACCATGAGGAGAGCGCCCATGGCTGGCCTCCCTCTCAGCACGTCAGGTTGGATGGGAGGTTGGGGTCAGGTAGGAAATTGAGGCCATATCCCCTTCAATGATGGATAGGTTCAGGGTTGAAAATTTCTCCCAGGAACCTGAGTCCTGTATGATCAGCCTCTGGAAGGCTTGGGAGGAGGTTCCTCCAGTCTCCTAATTAGGTGTTGGAATGATGCAGAAAGCAGAAGATGCAGTGCTGGCACTGGCGCCCCTGAGGAGCAGCTTTGCCCCTCCTAAGCCTGGGATGGCACTCACTTTCTCCGAGACCAGTGGAGAGGGGAGCGCCAGGACAAGAGAAGGGTCTTCCCTCATCAGAGGATTATAGAGAAGGTCTCACTGACAGAGGTGAAGCTTGGGGCCCATTGTGGGAGCTGATGAGGGGCAGTGGCTGGAGCAGAGGGGAATGCTCAGCTACACACACCTGGCTCCCCATACCAGCACTCGGAGGCCAGAGCAAGACAAGCAGCTCATTACCACTAGGATGAAGGCAGAGAAAGCATGAGGAGACCTAGAATTTTCTAAGAAATTACAGTTGCTGGAGTGGGTGAGGCCGGTGAAATGAGGAGTAAAAGAGGGCCTTCTTGCAGCAAGCTGTTCTTCCCCAGACCCCCACCTCAGCCACACTTGGTCCCTGGGGAGGTATCATCTGCAGAAGCGCCTATCAGCACAGACCCGAGAGCCACCCGCAGCCACGCTTCCTCTTCTTGCCCAGGAGGCCGCAAAGGCCCAGGGAGCAGGGCCCCAGGTCCCGGGGTAAGGGAAAGAAAGCTCTGGGGGGTCTCCTCTGCCCTTTCCAATTAACAGATCAGAGAAGCCAGGTCCTGAGGGGCTGAGACAAGAGATGGGATGTCTTATAGTGGTGACGATGGATGGAAAGAAGGAGGGATGTGCAGGGATAGGCGTGGCCGGGGCCAGGGCTGGGGGCCCAAATGGGGGGCAGGGTAGGGCGGGAGTGCAGATCGAGAGGACAAAGCAAAGGCCCTGTGCATAGAGGGCCCTGAGGAACAAAACCCTCTCCCTGTCGCTGGCCTCCCCACTGGCCCCACTGAGACCCCGGATGACCCACGTGTCTGGCTGCAATCTTGGAGGAGCCCACGAGGTTGCCGTCACCATCCAGGACATCGATCCCTTCCTCCAGCTCCCCATACCGCATCAGGACCACGTTGCAGATGTTGGCACTGGCTGGAGGCGGGGGGGGGGGGGCAAAGAGGCAGGAGTGAGAGGTGAGGATGCCATTCCACCTGGTGGAGAAAGCTACTGGGCTGCACCCAAGCCCCCCTACCCCAAGCAACAACAGTCCTGAGTAAGCGTCTAGTCTGCGTTCAGATGCGGTGGGTGATGGGTGCCCACCTGCCCGGCTGACCACCAGCCTGTTAAGGGACTTGGGGGCCCTTAAGAACCTGGTGAGCAAAGGTGTAAACTAATCAGGTGAGAGAGTGGGGACAGGGTTCAGGAGCCGAAGAGTGACCAGTTATCAAGGGAGCTGCTTTCTTTTCCTTGGGGGGTGGACCTGGCAGGCAGGCCAAGTGAACACCCATCTGGGAGGGTTCCCCGCTGCAAGACCCCCACCAGCCCCCAATGTCTCACCATCAGCAACTCAGGCCCTTGGGCTGCCTTTCTGGGTATCTTCCTGAGATGGCAGCCCCCCATATTCAGCCCTTTGCTCCTCAGAGTGAACCAAGTTCCCAGAGATTAGCTTCTCTGACAGCAGGTGCCAGAGCAGGCAGGAACCTCAGTGTTCACCCAGCACCACCCCCTCATCATATGGATGGAAAATGAGGCTCGGGGGAGGGGGTGACTTATCTGAGGTCACACAGCGAGGTGGGACAGAGCTAGTCCTTTGGGTACTCAGGAGATGGGAGGGTTTGGGGATGGAGGGCCCTGGGGTGGGGTCAGGCGGAGCTAAAGGCCGACCTTTTCCATCCTCGCTTCAGATGGTTGGGTTCCCTCCCTTGGCTATGAGATCATGACAGATCTGGGCTGAGGGGAGGGTTCCTGGCTCCTTAGTTAGACACTGGGTGCCAGAGTTTGGGGGCCACTCATCAGCTGGTGACTAGCCCCAGGAGTCTCCCTCTGTTCCTCTCAACTGGAGCCCAGGGGCCTGAGCCTGGGCCCTGGGGGGCAGGGCGGCTGTGGTGCTGACCTTGCCTGACCTCCTTCAGCCTTGCTCCAGGATAAAAGTGGGGGGACTTGAGGGTGGTGGGTGGGTGGGGAGTGGGGGGGTGACAAATGTGGAGGCCGCCTGCTGCACTCCTCCCCCAAAAGCGCCTTGCTGTGTTTAAAGTTTTAATTTTTGCTAATTAATGTCAATTAATTTTGTATAATGAGTGTTTAATTTTGGGGAGTGTGTGAGCCTGGGAGCGACTGCAGTTCTGGGCTGTGAACGCTGATTAGCATCAACACCTGCTGCTTCCCCACTCCCTCCAGTGGGGGGGCACGAGGGTTTGGGGAGCTGCAGGGCTGCGGGGCCTAGTGGGCAGGTGGAGTGGGAGGAGGACCACAGATGCTCCTGGTGCCTGAGCCAAGGCTGGGGAGCAGGCGGTGAGGGTGCTTGCAGCTGGGGGACAGGGTTCTGCAGGTGAGGGGTGGCTCGAGACCCTCAGGGTCTCTGAGCCTCAGTCTCCCGTTTCAATGAATTGGGGAGGTGGAATAAACAGAGGGGAAGACCAAGATGCTCTGCAGTCTTTGGAGAAGAAAAGCAGGAGACCAAATACAGTTTTAAAATGTATTTACAGCACATATGCCGTCTCTGAGTAGCTCTTGTATTTCCACACGACACTCAGCCGCAGTGGTAACCATGGGCAGACCTCTTCTGTGCTGGTTGCCTCCTGTCCTCCCAGCAGCTACACTCACCTGTCTTATACAGCCAGGGACGGGCTTGTGAGACATCTGGCAAGGTTTTGAGACATGTTTGATGATCGCAACCTGGGTTTGGGGTTGCTGCTGTCATCTAGCAGGTGCTAGATCCAGAGGTGTTGCTAAACATCCTACCATGCACAGCCCTCGCCACAAAGAATGATCTGGCCCAAAATGTAAGTAGTGACGTTGAGAAACCCTTGTCTTACATGGAGACTGGCAGAAGGAAGAGGGTGAATCCAAGGTAAAGAAGGAGAGGTTGGGGCCTGGATTTGGGGCCAGCTGGGCTTGAGTTACAGTCGTGGCTTTGATTCTTGTCCCCTTCACCCCCAGAGGTGAACTCTTGCCAGCCCTGGGTGCTCCCCAGGTTTAGGGCCTAGAAGGGCCCCCCAGAATGGCCTTGGGAAGCAGACACCTGGCCTGTGTGTTAGTGACTCGCCCTCTAGTGGCGGCAGGAACACTCTGCATTACTCACACCTCTGGGGCTGCCCCAGACCTTGGTTCCTAGGAGACCCAACAAAACCACTGGAGGGGATTTTGGGGTTTTCTGCCCTGAAAGGCACCGATCTCTGCCCTCTGAGAATCCTTTACACCACTGCCACACCACCACACTACCACCACTGCAGGTAAGACAAAACTAAAGGAATGTGGTCCAGGCAACCGGCATCTGCCTGAAGTCAGGAGCCACCAGTTCATTCTGTGACCTGAAGCAGCCACCCTTACCAGGCTTCCCTGGATGTAAAAGGGGGTGCTGTATTTAGCATCTCTATGGGACCTCTGGGCACTAGCTGAGGTCACATGGAATGTCAACTTCTGCACCCAAGCCCCCACCAGGTTAGGGGAAGCCAAGGACAGCTGAAATATGTCTAGCTCCTTGCTGCATGCATGTGCACATGCGCGTGTGCACAGATGCAGGAGACAAAGAAGAGAGTATTTGGAGGTGGTGGCTAACCAGTCCCAGACTTATGGTGGCATCTTGCTTGCTCTCTGCAATTTCCAAATGTAAAATGTAGTCATAGCAGACAGAGTAGGACTTTGGTTCAAACACAAAACTACTTAGGATGAAACATAAAGCAGGAAAAGAAGTGAAAACCCAATGCCCTTCCCCTCTAACAGCCCCTCCAGGACAGTTTGGGCATGAGAAAGCCCTCTTCTCATCTCAGCTGCTTGGATGGAAAAAAGACAGAGAAAACCCGAAGAGCCACCCTAAAATGATAGCACCCCAAGCTCTTCCTCCCTCAAAACACCCATAGTTCTCACTGCCTACTCAAATGACACCTGCCCGGTAATATTTTCTATTGACTGTACACTGGTGGTGCATTTATTGAGCACCTGCTGTATGCACAGGTTACTAGCTATTCCTGTCTTTGAGCAATGAGAACATGCGACTGTTTCAGTGATTTCATTTCCATGATCTCATCCAGAACTTTCATTTCTATTGTATTCCTTTCAAACCTCCCTGGTCCTTCCTATCCCACTCCTGGCAAGTCCAGCTCCTAAGTCACAAGCACTGAGAGCCTACATAAATGAAAAAGAGAGAGAAAGAGAGACCAACCGTGGGCCATGGGTCTCCTTTCTAGCACACCAGCAATATCTATTATTGACAGTATCAGCAGGTTAATTAAGCAGTCTGTTAGTGATAATGTTAAGAAAGCTGGCACATTTTCAACTCAGATTGACACCATTCAAGACTCAGGCATAACTGACGTTGGAGAAGCTATGCTGAGAGATGTCACAAGATGAGAGAGAGACAGAGAGAGAGAGAGAGAGAGAGAGGGAGAGAGAGAGATCATTTCACACTGATGGCAAGCTCAGTGTCAAGTCCTGAGGAAAATATGCTCTTGATTGCTGCAGATGTTCTCACATCAGACCCATCGTGATGCAAAATCATGCAGATTGTGAACAGCTAATGAAGAACCCCATGTAAAAGGGACAGTGCAGGGAAGAAGAAAGAGCAGTAGACAGAAAGACAAATGTACCAAAAAAAAGTTCTCAAAAAGAAGACTACAGGGGCGCTTGCCCCCCAACCTAGCACAGGAACAAACACACAGATCAGCCGAGTTCACAGTCCAGAAACACACCTACCTGTAGGCGAAATGAGTTTGTGGTAAAGCAGCTCCATGACTCACAACAAAGGGTCATTCAAACAGGAAGGTGAAGCAATGGGCTATTGGGCTATTCATGTGGAGAAAACAAAAATATCTCAAGTCCTGGGTTCTATGATGCTTTCTCCATATTTTAATGTTTTAAAAATCATGATGTGCCTTACGACAGACGCCGGGCTGGGGGTGGGGGGGAGAGGAAACCTTACCCGCTCCCCCCTGGGACCGCCTGTGCATGTGTAAACTTTGCCACGTGTAGAGGTTCATTCAAGTGTCACCTCAGCTACCCATAGCAGTCTGCACAGAATTTGAACTTAAACTTAGATTCCTAATTGTTGCCTAAAACATCTTTTTAGAACTTACACTATAATGGAGCACGGACATGAAAAGTTATTGTACATGCAGAAGATCGTCTGCCAGATACCAGGCAATGCAATTAAAGACAGCAGAAATTGCCAAACCATAGATAGCTACCCTAAAGAAATGCTTGCCCATATGCACAAAGAGACATTTACAAGGATGTTAATTATAGCACTGTTTGTAAGAGCAAATAATTAGAAACAACCTAAATGTCCACCATTAGGGAACTCACATGGGAAGATCTCCAAAACAATCTTATATGAAAAAAGCTACCGAGTATGTACAGGATGATTTACTATATGTAAAACCCGATCATTGGTGTATACATACCGTGTACCCATAAATCCGTAGGTAATGTTTTGGAAGGCTCACACCTCACACAGTGATCCCCTTGGGAAGGGAACTAAATTTAGAAATTAGAGGTTGTTGAAAGTCTTCCACTTTCTTTGCCTCCTTTTTCTAAACACCATTTGAATTTTTACAATGAGAACATACCATGCTTTACTTGTCTAAGAACTGAAAAGAAATTGCCAAACTTCCTAAAGTAGATCACAAAAATTTGAAAACCAGCAAGGATTGGTGTGACCTACTGGCAGTTCCTACACTTAGGTGTGTACAGGGGAGAAACTTCCTAAAGAAGCTGATTAACTTCAGGAGGAGTTTTAGCTTCAAGTAAAGAAAAAAAAAGAAGCCACAAGTATAACCAAGTAGGAAATGCAGACCAAAAAATCCCCAAATTCTTTTATATGCTTTGAAATTATACTCTTGGTTTTAGGGTCAAGAAGGGTCAAGATTAGACATAGAGTTACAAAAAGCAGTGGTAGCCGTGACGCTATGTTTAACAACCAATGTCCAAAAGAGAAG